AGCGGGGAACCCCTGAGAACTGTCTGTCCGGGGTGGGGGTCGGGTCCCTTTAAGCACAGCCCTCGGTTAGCCTGAGACAGCAGCTCCACGCTCTAAGTCCTAATCTGATGCCCTGCCGGCACTGCTTCCGGTCATCCTTAACCTCAGTTCAGGGTCCACTCAATGTGGACATGCTAGTTCGAATTAGCAAAACGCTAATTCAAACTAGTTTTTTAAGTCTAGATGCGCTAATTCGAATTAGCTTAGTTTGAATTAGTGCTGTAGTGTTGACATACCCTAATAGATTAGTAAGACAGGATTTCCCTTTACAGAAACCATGTTGACTTTTGTCCAATAAATTATGTTCTTCTACATGCTTCACAATTTTATTCTTTACTATTGTTTCGACTAATTTGCCCGGTACTGAAGTTAGACTTACCGGTCTGTAATTGCCAGGATCGGCTCTAGAGCCCTTTTTAAATATTGGTGTCACGTTGGCTACCTTGCTCTTTTGTTGTTGAAACTGGTGCACAGGATGGTTTGGAACCTTCTAATAGGACGCTGGGAAACTATCTTTCAGCTCGAAAATGTGACTGCTCTGTTCTGTAGTCCCTTTGCAGATTTGGAGGGCCCGCATGGTTCCTCTGGGCAAAAAGGGTGAGATATAGGAAGACGGTGTCCCCTCCATTCCATGCAGCACAAATCAGTAGAGGGCCTCCGGGCCTCAATGCTGAGTGAGTTTGGGGGCTGCAGTAGAAAATCTATGCTTCTTCAGCTGGGAGTCCCCATAGATCCTTGATTTTGCTGGCTCACACGGTTCCATGACTTAGTACTTTTTAGTGGCAGACCCATGGAGAGACTCACGTACTCGGCACCTCTCAAATTGGGCCCATAGATAGGGGATGTTATGAATTACAAGTACATTTCTTAATTGGGAAGCCAAGGATAAAGGTCATTTATTTAAGAAAATGCTGGGGTGAGGGTGGGGGAGCTCTTAATTTGTGTTTGATTGATGGCCACTGTCAATTTGCTATGCTCTGCTCCACAGATGTTCTGACTTGTTCAGAGCCACCACGCTCTCCAGTGAGATAGAAGATGCAATCCTGCAGCAGCTAGAAGAGCTAGGACTGCAGCAAGAGCACCTAGTTGTGAGATCTAGCGTTGTTGGGGAAGATACAACAGCAATGTCTGCTGCCGGGCAACTCTACACCGAGCTGGAAGTTAGGGGGAGTCAACAGGTACAGCTCCGTCTCATCTTTTTCTCTGCAATGGGCAAGCTGCTTCGACATCTCTTTGCTGTGGTTAAGGTTGAGGGCTGTGGTTAAGGTTGAAGGATGGAGAGAGTTTGCTGGCTGCTTTTGGGAGTGGTGCAGGCCCAGAGTAGAAGTGAGCCTGCCTTAGTCCCCTGCACCGCCACCTGTGCCCAGCTGGAGCCTGCATTCCAAACCTCAGCCCCAGTCCTGAACCCCTTCTGCACCCCCAAATCACTGTCCTAGCCCTGTGTCACCCAAACTCCCTCCCAGAACCTCCACCTCAACTCTCTGCCCCAGGCTCAGCTCAGAACCCCTCCTACACTCCAAACCCAAGATCAGAGTCTGCATCCTCCACACCTTAGCCCTCTGCCACAAGCCTGATAAAAGTGAGTGAGGATAGGAGAGGGACGGAGGATGGAGTGAGCAGGGGCGGGGCCTTGGAGAATGGGCAGGAAGGAGGTGGGGCAAGGGTGTTTGTGTTTGAGATGAATCCTGGACTGCATTTAAATTCAAAAAGTGATCTCATGCTTAAAAAGGTTGGAGACCACTGCTCTAATGCATATGTGGCATTTATCCCCAACTCCCTGGGCCCAATCCAGTGTGGTGCTCAGCTCCAGTGAGATGGTCTTGCTTACTTCCCCTTCCAGGTGTGTGAGGGGATACAGATCTGCTGGGCCTCACTCTACTCATTCGCAGCTGTGCAGTATCGCAGGCAACGAGGCCAACCGATCCCTGCGCGCATGGGAGTTGTCATCCAGCGAATGGTGCCGGCCGACGCAGCAGGTCAGCCCCCCGTATGCTCCTTCTCCACCGTTCTTTTGCTCCCTGCTGGGCTTTGGCTGCTGTTGAAGGAGCTTTTGAAGTCTCGGTGCATCCCAGGCAGGTGCTAGGCTGGTGGATCGGCTCAGCCGCATATCTGCTGGCCTTGCCTTGCTCTCCCCATAAGCCACCCTTCCAGAGCACAACCAGTGAGGTATGCAGCTGGTGGAGATCCCGCCTTTTGTGCTCCTCCTTTCCACCCTGCAGGTGAACTGACTTGATTTTCCTGCTTTTTCATGCTTTTACTCATACCCTGGAGCTAGAATCTGTGGGGGAAAGACTCAGAGGAACAGGACACGGGGGCATTTGTGTCTAGTATAGATGGGGCTGATAGTATCATGTATTATTAAGGTTGCCTGCCATGTCCCGTTCCACAGTCCTGTTTTCAATTGCTTATCACTTCTTACTAATATTGAATCATTTGGGCTGAAATGGTCCATGCTGGTTATCTGCCTCGGGCTCAGGTTATCTGCTTATTTTTAAGGGCCAGCCAGAAAGGTTCAGTTGTTTCGGAGAATGTGCGCAAGGAAAAATACTTGGCTATGCCTATTTCATAGAAATCCTGGCGGCTTTTTCTTTGAGAAGCGGTTGTGACCCCATGCTTTGAAAAAGGGATTTGACGTTCGCTTTGGAGAAGGCCTGGTCTTTGTCTCAGAGATGTGCTGTTAGCCATCCCTGTGAAAATCTGCCAGGTTATACGCCAATGAAAACTCAGTAAAGCTTTGTTGGAGCTTCATAGCTAGATGCCTGAAGTTTGCATCCGATCTAGCAGTGTGGTGAAGCATTGGAAGGGGCTACCTAGGGAGGTAGTGGACTCTCCAGGCTGAAATAGTTGAGCAGCAGAACTGAAAGCAGAGAGTCTGTCTCCTATGTGCTCTCTGTGACCCCTCTGCTGGGCCCCAGCAGCATGAAGAAGGAAACGGCTTGATTTGAATGCAGAACAGACGAGAAACAGAGACCAGGAGTTAGAATGGGGTGGGAGACGGAGACTGGTTGGGCAAGGAGACTGGATGGATGGAGAGAGAAATGGGGCTGTGAGCTATTGGGGAGGAGATTGGGAGGGGCTGAAGAGCTGGAGGGAGACTGGGGTTGGCTGGACTAGAAGCTAGAGGGGCGGAAGGGAAGTGGGGAGAAGCATGAACCTCACAATTCCTCTGCTGCCAGTAGAGATCTGTGACTCCTACTGGCAAAGTGTCTCATCTCCCTAGTCCACAAAGAAGATGATAAATGACTGCTGTCATCAGTCACTCTGTTAACCTGTGTGGCGAAGGTCTGTGTGGTGAAACTGATGGTTCCACCCCTTGTGATGATCTATGGGGTGTTAATAGGAATCCACATAACGGAACTTCTACTTCTCCGATTTGATTTTTATTTATAACATTGGAAATTGCATGCAAAAAACTCCATTAAAAGACCATTGTTTAGGTTGTAAAATCAAGCACTCAGAAGTCAGGAAATGCCAGAATTAAGGTTTCTTGCAAGGCCAGTCGGGAAGGAGGATGAGGGGAGGACATGAGGTCGATCTGGCCTGGGCCTCAAGGTCAAAGGGGGCCTCAGATTTAAACACTTGTTAATTTTTTGGCATTCAAAAAGTTTCACAACTTGTTTTTATGAGCATCGCTATCAGACTGAAATGTGACCCGCTCTCTCTGCTTAGATTGCACAGAAAAAAGGCTAGCCAAGCACTTGTTAAATAAAAAAAAATCCAATTACATTTCATTTATTTTGGGTGCCTCAGTTTGTTTTCATGTGTCAGCATTTTTTTGTTTATGATGGCTAGGGGCCTCAACAGCTGGGAGTGACCCAGGCCTCTCTGGACCTCTGAGAGGATCCGGTGGCGTGTCACTTAAGTCAAGCCCCCAGGGTGTGTACCAAAATGACAGTGGTTTTCAGACTTCCTTTCCAGTGACCCAATTAAAGAAAATTGTTGATGCCCGAGACCCAGCAGAACTGGGGACAACGGCTTTGGGGTGCAGGAGAGGGATTAGAGCTGGGGCAGCGGGTAGGGGTGCAGGGCTGAGTGCCGGGGATGCGGGGTGTATGGTTTAGGAGGGTCTCTGGGCTGGAGTGGGGTGCAGGATAGGGTAAGGACTGGTGATGCAGGCTCTGAGATGGAGCTGTGGATGAGGGATTTAGGGTGCAGGGGACTCTGGGTTTGGAGGAGTTCAAGGCTGGGGCAAGGGATTGGGGCACAGGATCAGGGCACAAGCTTCCCTCCCATGGCATGAAGGCAGCTTCCTGCCTATCTTGGCGCCATGGACCACACTGTGCCCCACAAGCAGCCAGCAACAGGTCTGGCTCCTAGGTAGGAGACACGCAAGCAGCTACCCATGGCGCTCACCTGCAGCACTGATCCTTCCCAGCTCCCATTGGCTGGTTTCTGGTGAATGAGTATGCGGAACCGGTGCTCAGGACAGGGGCAGTGTAGGGAGCCCTGTGCCGCTACTGCTCAGGAGCCAGACCTGTTGCAGTTCACTTCCAGGGCACAGCCCAGTGTCAGAAGAGAAAGAGATTTCAAGGGTTTTCAAAGCGTGGATTGCAACCCAGCCTTAGCTAGCCACCAGGGTCCTTGGGTGCAGAGCAAGGTGACCAGTGGCTTGCATTCTGCGAGCCAGTACTGGGTCACCACCCACCCTTTGAAAACCACTGCGTCATGAAACAGCCTTTAATGCCATGGTCACATTTTCCACAGGATCCTTCCCTCATTCAATGCACAGGACAGAGCTACTCGGGGGGATCATGCAGGGCTGTGTGGTGAGGGATGCTGCTGTCGGTAGGGCCCCTTTCTTCATATGTTACCGAGATGGAAGGCGTCCAATGAATGAGGCAAGGGACTGCAGGAAGAAAAAAACACCCCGCCTTGGTCATGGCTGCTCTAGAGAACTGGATTCTATCCCTGCCTGTGCCACAGGGTTGCTATGGGCTCCCAGAGAAGTCACTGAAGCCAGACTTGTCAGAGGTGGTCACTGAGGCGATGTCTAGACTGCAGGCTTCTTTCAGAAGCTTTTCTAGATGAGATCTTCTAGAAAAGCTTATTTCAAAGAGAGCGTCCACACAGCAAAAGCGCAATGAAAAAGCGATGTGCTTTTTTGAAAGATCGCGTCCACACTGATTGGATGCTCTCTCACATTTCAGTTGATTAGTATGGATGGAGTGGCCACCAAGGCACGTGTTTGATTTCCTGGAGGCCTCTTCTTTCAAAAGAACTCCCTCTCCTGGTCCACATACGCCTTTTTCTGAAAAAGCTTTTTCGGAAAAAGGCTTCTTCCTCATAGAAAGAGGTTCACCGCTGTTGGAAAAACCTCCCCGTTCTTTAAACTTTCTGTCGAAAGAACACAACAGCAGTGTGGATGTAAGTATAGTTTTTCCAGAAAAACGCTGAAGTGTAGACCTATCCTGAGTGTTACTCATTTCTGCGGGTGTGACTAGAGGTCCTGGGGTCTGATTTGCGGAAGTGTAGAGGACTCACAACTGTATCTGAAATCGCTTGGCACAGTGCACTGAACAAACGAGTTCTGTACAATGCCAAGTATTCTTCAGTGTCATCTCAGATCAGGCAGCCAAAATGAATGGGAATCTTTTAATTTAATTTCTGTGCCTCAACCCGTCATCTAACCCCCTCCTCTCACTGGGGTGTTGCGAAAGAAAATGAATGTATGGTTAAGAAGCACTCAAATTAGCATTTCTGGAAAGCTTGCAAAGAATTAAATAATTCTGTATTCAGAGCAGGGTTTGTGCAGTAAATAAAGCATAAGGATACACACTGAGCAGTGAGGATAAAACAAAATACAGAAGAGCTGCTATTAAGTGATCATTGTTTACTGAACAAAGCAGAGGTTTGTGGGAAAAATAGCATGTGATCAAGTAAATAAAGACTGTAGTAGGGATGTTAAAATGTGTTTATTTTTGTAAACATGTAACTGCTAGAATTTTCAGTGGATACACATTTACATGGGAGTGGGAGGCAAGGTGGGAGTTGGTGTTTTTAAGATAGCTCCCCATAAGCACTGGGTCCTGTCTACCTCCTTCTTCCTCCCTCCTCCCACTCCAGGCAGCTCCATGGGAGACGGTAATCAAGGGAAATGGCTTTTAAGCTGGCTGCCCGTGAGCATTGGCTCCTGCCTGCCCCCCGATTCCTTCCCCCGCTCTGCTTCTGTGGATCATCGGTTAATTGTGAACTTGGGTGCATGCTCACATCTCTAGGCTGTATCATGATATTTACATAAAAGGAAGCCACATTAAGGTTTTACAGGTAACATTCATTCTGATATATCCTAACTCCTGAGTGCGTGACTTTGCAAATTTAATGTTCTTATTTAGGGGAAGGGGGAAAAATATATATTAGAGTTGGGCAAAAATTTTCAGTCCAAACTGATGTGTGTGTGTGTGGGAGAGAGAGAGAGAGAGAGAGAGAGAGAGAATGCAGATGCAGTGTCACTGATATATTTCATGAAGTCTAGCTAATTAAGCTAATTAATTAAACTTCTTTGTTTTGGGGAAAAAGTATTGAAAAATCACAATGTTTGATTTTGACTATTTTGAAATTCAACTTTTTGATTTTTCTATTTGAAACAACTTTTCTTTTTGCCATTGATTTTAAATGTATTTTTAAAATATTAAAAATCACTTAAAAATCAAAACATTCCATTCAACCTGAAACATTTTTTTTTACTTTTCAGTTTGCTGCAAATTTTGAAAAATCTTGTTTTCAGTATACCCCCCAAATCCATGATTTTCCCAGCTATCTCGCTCTCTCCTTCTCTCTCTAAAATGCCATCATAGAAAAGGCAAAGGACAATTTTCAAGGAAAATAAGTGAGTAAGTGACAGGGGATATTTTTTTGATGATACTTTAATTTATTTTCCTTTTTTCAGAACACCCACTGCAAGATAGTTTCCTCATATTCATTCAATACATATATTTTATGCTATGTTTCTCAATAGATAAAGAACTTGTTGTGATTATTGAGTACTTGATCTGAGTTGTGTGGCTTAGCTGTGACTCATTAAATGTCATGTGATTCTGTTTCTGACTCCTGATCACATACGACTTCAAAATGTGCCAGCCAAGGAACAATTTGTCCCAGTAAAATTCTGTTTTCCCAATGTGAGAGAAGAGTGAACACACACACACAGTCACAGAAAGCATTGTTTTCAGTCAATATTTTACAGTCACTGATTTTGTCCTCTATAAAATGTCCTTTCTAGGAGAGCTGTTCACCTGTGACCCAGTTACTGGACATCCTGGGAAGATGGTTATCAGTGCCAGCTGTGGACTTAGGGAGGTTAGTAAAAATTGTTGATGTTTAAAAATCACTTTAGAGCAAGTGGGAGAAGAAAGAAGGAAGGGAAATGAGGTATTTAGTCAGTAAATTGTACCTCTGCAGTTCACACATGGGAGCTGGTTTGGTAGGAGTCTGCTTCATAGCCATTCTGCAATTTGAAGATTACTACCTGCCTGTGTTGACCTTCTTTTGAATACGTTTGTTACTCCATGAGAACTGATATGTGTTTGTTATGTGCAACCAGAATAGGGACATTGGACCAGAAGGGATCTTCTGGGTCATCAAGTCATTAGTGCTCTGCCACTGTAGGTAGCCCCAGCCAATGCGCCCTCTAATTTTTCCATCCATGTGCAGAATAAATTTTGTTATTTGCACCAAAGCAGATGTAGATGTGTACCACCAATAAAAACAAGTACTGCCAGCTGTGTGTGCTTTACTAATCAACTGGGCAGCACTTGAATCTTTCCTGGGAGGCCGCCCAAGTGTATAGCTTACGTGGAACACTAGCACCATCCTATAATCATGTTAATAAATGTATCAAGCTCTATCTTAAAACTAGTTTAGATTGTTTTCCCCCACTACTCCAAATAGGAGGCTGTGTAAGAACCTCACTCCTCGGAGGCTAAAAAACCTTCTTCAAATTTCCAGCATGGATTTATTTAGGGACAGTTTATAGGCATGTTTTTTTCTGCCAATGTTGTCCTTAAACTTAAAAAGTTCTTCTCTCTCTGGAATGCTTATCCACTGATGTATCAATAGAGACGAATCACATCCCCTCTCAGCCTTTCTTTTAGTAAGAAAGGCTCATTCCAAACATGAGTAGTCCTGTGGTACCTTAGGCTGTATCTACACTGCAGCACTATTTTGGGATGCCAGAGTATACTGAAATAGCTATCTCGTGTATTAACAGCAAACTCGTTATTTCAGGCTCGCTATTCCGATGTCCCTTTAAGCCTCGTTTCACGAGGAGTAAGGGATGTTTTGGACTAGCGGGTTATTTTAAAATTTGGCTCTGTGTAGACAGCGCCAAATGACAAAATAAGCTATTTTGAAATAAGATTGAAATAAGATAGGCAATTTGCATATCTCAAATTGCATATCTTATTTCAAATTACAATTCAGTGTAGATGTAGCCTTAGCGACTAACAAAAAAATATATATAGTATCATGGGCACAGCCCACTTCTTCAGATGAGATGATCTTGAGGCTCATTTTATACAGGTTCTTTCTTCTTACCCACTTTGAGGGGAAGCTTTCTGAGCCAAACCCTTCCATCCTAGGGAAACATATTCCAAAGCCTTGGTGAGTTTGAATTCTTGACATTGCTGAGTTTCATTCTGTTTGAGGAAGAGTTTTGGGTTGTGTGGCAAGGATAGGAGAGGTGGCCAGGAACTCATAAGGAACCTGAAGATCTGCAGTTCTATCTGGTTTCTTTTACTTTGTATCTGAAGATTGCCCATCTTTGACCTTCCCAGCAGTTCCCCACAATCCTCCAGACCCAGACAGCTTCTGCAGGGTGCTGTTCATGGGGCTGGCATGTGTTTGTGCTGGCAAAGTAGAAGAGGGTAATAGGCAATGTAGGTTCCATTCCCATCCATCCACTTTTGGGGCCTATATTCCTGCTCCCTTGGTGGGATGGGGAGGTGAGACTATGGAAGCCTCTTGAGTTAATTTTTTTTAAATAGCAATAAGAGGTCAGAAACTTGTAATAAAGATCAGTCTTTGAGGCTTTATTTGCCAGGCACTGAAGCACACGAAGCTAAGCATTCACATCTCAGGCTTGCTCCGTACTTTGCAAATTACTTCACAGCGATGGGTGTGTGTCCAGAACCCATGGCAGAACTGTGTTATGGTTAACATAAATCACATTCTAAAACCTTCATTCCAACCATGTAAAGTTGCTCCTTTTCATGGCTCCTTCCTTGGGTGGAAAATTCACTGCAGGAAATGATACAGCAGCCCACTAAAACAGGAATTCCAAAAGCATGAAGGTTCTAATGCTGACCATTCATGATTTTGACAGGAAGCAATAAAACGGAGGAAACTCACAGCTTGGAAAGAAATGGACTGTACAGCCCTGCACTGGTCCAGCACAAAGGGAGACAGCCAGGCTACGTCTACACTTCGAGTTTTCTCGGCAAAAAATATGCTAATGAAGGTATCATTTGCATGAATTTCAATCTCATTTGCATATTTTCTACTGATCCGTTTTTACACAAAAACAAGCAGTGAGGATGTTTTCTTTTTGCGCAAAACCCCCTTTTCCTGCAAGATCGGTAAACCGCCTTTTTTGGGGCATAAGGATCTTGTGGAAAAAGGGGATTTTGCGCAATAAGAAAACATCTACACTGCTGGTTTTTGCGCAAAAACCCCAGCGGAAAAACGGATTGGCAGAAAATATGCAAATGAGATTGCGACTTATGCAAATGAGTCCATCATTAGCATATTTTTTGCTGAGAAAACTCGTAGTGTAGACATAGCCTGGCTGTCTCCCTTTGTGCTGGACCAGTGCAGGGCTGTACGGTCCATTTCCTTCCAAGCTGTGAGTTTCCTCTGTTTTATTGCTTCGTGTCAAAATCATGAATGGTCAGTGTAGACGTAGACCCAAAGTATCGTGATAATGGCGCTTTACTTTATCTGGACATTGGGGATATGTCTACACTGCAGCTGAGAGCGAGCTTCCCAGCTCAGGTAGACAGACCCGTACTAGTTCTGCTTAAGCTAATGAGCAGAAAAATAGCAACGTGGTGGCTCAGGCTTGTCACCCATGTCCAAGCTCACCCAATGCCGTGGGTAGGAGCTTGAATAGCTCACCTGAGCTGCCATCCATATTGCAATGTCCACCCTGATAGGTTTACTGCACTAGCTGAGCTGACCTAGCTTGTGTGGTCACCTGGGCTAGAAGGAAGGCTCCCAGCTTCAGTGTAGATATCCCCTGAGGGTCCTGGAGAGATGCAGTCAATGGGCCAGCTCCAGACAGAGTCGAAATATTTGCAACTCCCACCGGAGAAGTACATGGGCTGCCTAGGTTTGCTAAATTTAAGGAGAGACACAGACACTTTTAAAGATGGATATGCCTGGATCTGGCAGTCAATCACCGCCTGGCCAGTTGCCTGATTTGGAAAATGGGTTCACTGTGTTCTGCATCTAGACCTTTATTTCCCTTTAACTTTTCTGCTGGCATCAAATGTTGCTTATTAGCTGCAGTTAGGTCCTTGGGTTTTGAATGCCTACAGTAGATATAGTTTATATGCCATAGGTGTCTTTCCTTTGCATGGTAAAAAGCCAGGGCAAATTTTTTTCACTGGATTTAAGTTTTAGCCTCTACAGTTCGTAAAACTAAATTACAGATTCAGTGAATCCCAGAGAGCTCCACTGGGAGGAATAAGTTATCACAAATTGTACTGCACGAGTGAATTTTCTCCGGGAAAAAAAAAGAGGAATTACTCAGGAAATCGATTTTTCTCAATAAAGCTGTCTTAAGTTGAGCCGTCTGTCCAACAATGAAATTAATCAAAAACAGTCCAAATGGATACAAAAATAAGACAATTTATCAGAATCCAGATGTCTCTGTGGAGTCCTTCACAGTTCCCGTTAAAAATTCAGTTAATTCCTTCTTGATCTCACGTTGCTCCTCACAGAAGCAAATATAACTATGTGTAAGTAAAGCATTAAAACACAAATAGGATTCTAAGCATGCAGGAGCATGAATCTCTCTCTCTGAAAGATGTATTTTGGGGGCTTTATGAGTTTACCCCATGCAGATGCCCTATCCTTTCACAGTTGAGATATTGGGTTTTGCACTGTCTTTAGCATTTATGCAAGAGACTCTAGAGAAATACTACAGATTACAAACAGTGCAAGTGAAGGTCATTCAAATCTGGCTATAAAGTTTTACAATCTGTATTAAATCAAAGGGAGAAGGAGGAGGAGCTAAACCTGTGGAGCGGCCAAGAAACGCTGGAGCTTTCTCACTAGAATTAAATGCCTTGTATAGTGATTTATCTAACAAGTGGTTCAATCCAGTTATAAATAACACTACAGACTTGAGGAAAGGAAAAAGCAAAGAGGTCTGCTCAGTTTAAAAAGGGGTTCTTATATATATGTACTAGATTTACCCAGCATTGCAAGGGTCGTTAACACAATTCATTTTTTTCTTAAATAAAATGAAAATGTCCAGGTTTCATTGAAATCATGGGGTGGGTTGTGGGGAGGGGTCCTGAATTCAGGCTGCCCCAGTGAGAGAGGTCTACCCCAGCCCTCTCTCACTGCAGCAGCGTGGGGCCAGGAGAGAAGCACCTCTCCATGGCTACTGCAGCTCCAGTAGCCACAATCAGGAGAGGGGTGATGACCACTGCCTGGGGTAGGCCCAAGTTCATCTGCTTCCTGCCTTCCTCAGCCAGAGTGAGGAATGGAGTAAACTGTGCACTTTCCCCTGACTCCCTGACAAAGGGGAATAGCCAGCAATATTCCTGTATGAATAGGGGGAGGGCGTTTCAGACCCCCACCTCACCCTCCTTGAAGGATGCCTGGATGCCTTGAAGGATGCCTCATTCCATGAGGTTTAACTGGTAATTCTAAGTAAGGGGTTTATTTCAGAATCGCCCTTCTCTGCCGCGTGTAGACGGGGGCAGTTATTCCAGGCTAGTCAATTTCCAGAATGGCTACCGGCCGGGAACATGCTAACGAAGTGCAGGATATTTAAATCCCGCGCTTCATTTGCAATTTCGGTCACCCTCATTAGCCTCCCTAGTTCGAACTGAGGGGATAGTGAAGATGTACCCTGAGAGACTTGGGCCTGGGACAGTTCTGGATTGGGGGAGTACCCCCCGCCAGCCCCTTTCACCTGCTGTGATTATGTCTCTTTTCTGAGTGGTTATATGAGAAGCAATCCCATTCCAGGCACATCCCATTTTCCTAGAATGATTAAACCCTTACCTTGGTTTAGATTATACCGAATTTGATGGTCCTGGCTCTTATCGTTTAGCAGGAGTCCTTGAACAGACGGACAGATAGACAGACATACACACACAGACAGACAAGCTCTCTCAAATATATAGTAGGCAGAAAGCAGCAGAGAATGCGCTCTTCCTAAGCCCTGGGGGAGGAGAAATTCTGAGAGTAGAATGTTATGTCCCTACGCTCCTCACCTCGGTCTTGTGCTCCTAAAGTGCTCAGTAGCTCTGCAAATCAGGTTATATTTAATTCAAGTGCCTAAGTAAGAAGTTAGGTGCCTAACCTCAACCACCCAAGTTAGAACATGTAGTCTGTGTCTATATATAAAAACACACAGGAGACCGCTCAGAAACGATACTGTTCTGATGAGCGTGGCAATGGAAATATATGGGGACTAGAACTGCCTACTGCAGGGTTTCTTGCTTTCTCAAAAGCAGCTGGACTGGTTTCCATCAAAGACAGGACACGGGTCTAGATCAACCACAGGTCTGATCCAGTCCTCCAATGGCGGTAGACGACTATAATGTCTGAGCACAGACATTTCTGCTCAGGATGAATTTAAGTTATTTGCACGTTGCTGGTATTTATTGGACGGTGTTGGTTTGTGATTAGTGAAAGTTTCTAAAACATACCTCTGTAAAGGGTCCTCCGCAATCTCTTTATATGGAAGTTGTCAGTGACACCACACGGTGGTGCTCTTTATAGTTTTTCAGTTTGCAAAGGAATGAAGTGATTCAGAGGACAGAATGACTCATCAGCTCTCCTTTTCATTGTTCTCACTTCTTTTCCTTATCCCTTCTTTGTTTGCCTTAATCTTCCCTGCTGCTTGCTTGGCTTCTCTCTCTTTCTTTTTGTCTCCCTGTCCCTTTTTTTTTCTTGTAATACCTTGCAAATTCATAGACTTTAAATGGTTCCTTCTGGCTTATAACATTCAATTTTAACCTCCTGTAGCACAAAGTCCATATAATCTCACCCAATAAACTCTGGAAATCTTTGCTAACTTATAACCTGCTGGTTAGAACTTTCCTATCACTTGTATAAATAATTACTCCTATCCATGCTGCCTTGTTAGTTCCCTCAAGGTGAAATTCAGCTCCTCAAAATAGGGCTTGCATGGGACCCAAGTGGTGCACAGGTTCTTCTGCTGCCCCTCTGTAAAGGTATGAATTCCATCATTCATATGAAACAATCCTCAGTATGTGAAAACTTAAGAAATATTTGAAAGCTGCGTTAGCAGATGTTGGCATCTTTGGCCCTCAGTAGCGCTGCCCTTGGGTTGTAATGGATCACGGTCAAGGTTTCCAAAAGTGATTCAAGATGCTTCAATTCTTGCATGCTCAACTTGAAAAAGTGGACACCAAGACAAAATTGCTTGGATGAGTACCAAAGTGTATCTTAAGCATGTAGGGACAAAATCAAAAAAGGCTAAGTCATCAGATGAGTTATACCAAGCAGGGGACACAAAAGGCAATAAGAAGAGGCTCTATAAATACATTTGGAACAAGAGAAAGACAAAAAATGTAAGCCCACTAATCAGTAGGACAGGAGAGCTAATAATGGATGACATCAAAATGGCTGACATGTTCAATGCTCTTTTGCTCCATTCTTCTCCAGAAAAATTAATTGACCAGATGCATAACATAATTACACAATTTTACCACCCAATTACAGAGAGAGACTACTGAACTGGAATTCATTTACAAATTTGATGCTGTCAACCTGAACTTGAATAAAGATATTAACTGGTTAACGCACTACAAAGCCAATTTCCCCTGACTTTGGCATTCATATTTTCACATCAAAAGCTATGAATGGGACATATCCAGTCTACTTAATTAGCTTCATTAACGTGGGTCCTACAATTGATAGGTAACTACTTTTGCTGTTGTTTATACCTTGGATTCTGTGTTTTCTCACTCCAGCTCATCTGATGAAGTGTGTTTTACCATGAGAGCTCATGATCCTATACATTTGTTAGTCTCTAAGGTACCACAGGACTACTCATTGTTATTACAATTATTAACAACAAGGGATAAGGAAT